ATGGCCTGCTCCCAGTTGGCTTGTTAGCTCAATTGGTAGAGCGCTGCACTAGTATCGCAGAGGTCAGTGGTTTGAATCCCGTACAGGCCTGATTTTTTTTCAGGTCTGATTTTCGCTATTGCATAAATGGCGCTATCTACTGTGAAGGATCGTGCATCATATGTATTTAATACCGCATTTCAAAATATATGAACTTCATATATTCATTGTATCTGATTTATCATCATGGGTTATTACGATTCAACTTAATGGCCTGCTCCGAGTTGGCTTGTTAGCTCAATTGGTAGGGCGCTGCACTAGTATCGCAGAGGTCAGTGGTTCGAATCCCGTACAGGCCTGATTTTTTTCAGGTCTGATTTTCGCTATTGCATAAATAGCGCTATCTACTGCGAAGGATCATGCATCATATGTAGAGTTATGTTTATGGTGAAGTATTAATTTTGTGATTAGGTTTTTATCAACTAAGTTGAAATTGTAAATTGGCCACCACGAAGAGTTAAAAACCTGCCATTTTAAGTGTTAGCTCTTTTCTGATGAAAGACCTAATGCTCAAAATTTCAGCTTTTTAACTCTTTACAGTGGCCAATTTACAATTTCATTTTAGTTGATAAAACCTAATTAGCTTGTTACCCCCACCAATGCAGCACCACAGTTTCTTTAGAAACTTACCCCCTTTATTAATTTTGTGGATTCTTGTAGGAATCTTAGAGAAGCAAGAGATAATGCATTGGAGTCAAAAGAAGGTGCTCTCATCAGTCAAAAGGAAATTGCCTCCAAGTATGATCTCCTGCAATCTGAGTAAGTAACTGTATCGTAAGTTCTGACTTTTTCGATGTTTCGTTGTTTTTCAATGCCCACTCTGTTCAGGGCTGTGGTCTAGCTGCACCCGGACTCCCTGGTGCCTTACTTTTGCTTTTGGCAACTCAGGAATCTTAGTTTTTTCATAAAAAAGCACATGCTGGGTACCCTGGATTTTGTACGATAGAGAGATATAGATAGATGGTTTATTTACTTAAAGAGTTGCAGTCAAAAACTGAAATACACTATAGCTTACAATTAATTTTCTAAGAAAAAATAATATGAATATATGAATATAAATATGTAAAATATCAATATCGACGATCCTAGACAATCATCGTCTGTCTGCCTATTAAGAATTACCCCCACTGGACTCCCTTCCATTTTTCTGAGAGCACAGCTTTACAGTTCTGTAATTATTAATAACATTATTTTTATTGATTAAATTTTAAGTTATTAAACTTGTCTGTAGATTCATAGTGCCTCTACAAAGAAAACATGTTGATCATCATTTCAGTGGAGTTTGATAATATTTTTAGCAGAAATGTGCCATGTCAGTTAAAATAAATGCCATTAATTTTTTTTTTTTTTCAATTGTTGGCCATTACCAGATTATGTTCCAAAGGAGTAGCTGGGCTCGTTTTGAAAAGCCTCAAATTAATAGGTCTTAAACAAGCACTTTCTCTTGCAGTCTAGCTCGATCTGTAAATGCAACTAGACTGGAATATAATCTGTTAATGGTGCATACTAATTCATTTGAGAAATTGTTGTAAAAAAAACTTGTGATGATTTTTTAAATGGACCTCAAACATTTGAATGGTGCATGGATGTAAATGTTAAAATCAAACTCAAATGAAAACAGAAGGGGAATTCTTATCATCTCAGGGGCACTTTAAGGACCAATATACAGGGTTCCCATGCTCCTTGAAAGTCCTTGAAGCTAATTTTTTGGTTTCAAGTACTTGAAAACCTTTGAATTTAGACTCAGGTCCACGAAAATTTCTGAGAAGTCCTTGAAAAATTAATGAGTGCAGATGAATCAAAGTCAAAGTTCACTTTTGTTTTTGGTGTTGAAAGTGTACTAAGTTTCTAGCACAAATTGTGAAAACAAGTTTTCCTTTCAGATTCTATGACTGATTATGATGTTTGACATGTGATTTTTTTATATTTTGTACCTTAACTTATTGGTGCATCAAAAATAACTTTGGTTACCTAGCACCTGATCTCTCTGGTGTGCATGCTTGAAGTCACACTCGTTGGACTTTTCAGCCGGTCCTGCATGCATGCTCACGTCATTGAAATTTAACAATAAAGAGCAATGTTTTTTTTATTTCTATTAGCTCCTATTTAATGCAAAAGGTCCTTGAATGTGAGAGCCAAGGTCCTTAAAAATGAACTAAAAAGTCCTTAAAAGTCCTTGAATTGGGTTCCTGAAAAAGTGCAACAACCCTGAATGTAGAGTTGGAACAGTTTGTAAAGGGGGTGTCAATTTACAATAAAAATTTTACAGTGTGAACACACCCACCCCTCCCAAAATTTACCCTTAGTTGACTGTTGTTGGATTAGGGGGAGAGGGGGGGCACACAACGTATATGGACAGTTGATCTAAATCTTATTATGTTTATGAAAGGTATCGCCAATTACAGTTGACAGCTGACAGCAGGCAGTCCGAATTGCAAAAAGAGATCAGTGTCAAACAGTTTGAGTTGGAGAGGTTGCAAATGATTCTTGATGAAACGGCCAGCAATCTTCGTCAAGCAAAACTAGAGGCTGAAAAATACCAGAGCAAGAGTGAGGTGTGATAGCCTTGTTTTTATGAGGGATAAAGTTGCCTTCAGTTGACATAATGTTTAATTTGTTTCCTTCTCAAGGTTTTGAATAAAGAGTACTACACCCTGCAAAACTCCTCCGAAAAACAGCTTGTGGAACTTGAAGCAAAGTGTAAGGAACAGGGAGATAAGCTGGCAGTTTATGAAAAACTTGAGCAGGAACTGGATGATGTTATCATGCAATCTGCAGAGAGTAAGGAGTGCCTACATATATCTTATTAACCAAGTGCGAGGGCCGTACTGGGAGAATATTGGCCCAAGGTCTTGACGGTATGGACCGAGCGCAGCGAGGTCCGTACAAAAAAGACAGAGGGCCGATATTCTTCCAGTACAGTCCCGAGCAAGCTTGGTTAATGAGATTTATTACATGACTGAAGTTCAAAGGGAAACTAGTATGGTATCATTCGGGATCATTCGGGACCATTTGGGACAGTGCCCGGTCCAATACTGAGAGAATATTGACAGGCAATAGAGCATTTTGATTGGTTGATTTTAGTTATTGGCCCTCTGACTTCCCGAGTCGTGTAATAAATTTATTTATCTCACTATCATTGCGCAGAATATTGTCAGAACTGTGTACTGCTCCAACTTCTTTCACCTCTAAGATCTCTATACCACCAGTCTGATTCTACATAGTTTACACATAGTTAGTAGAGAAGGTTCCCCTCTACTAACTATGGTTTACAGTACTATCTGCTTTATAAGTTTCTTGTAATTTTGACTCTGAGAATTTGGTTTGAAGTCAAACAATATTCCCTAAATTATTGATATGTATCTTCTTGTCTTCTTTTCTCTGAAAATTACTTAGAATAACCAAAGTGTATCTTCTCATCAGCATGTAATAGATGTAGTATTCTTTAAGTATCGTAACAGCAGCATACCAATTTAGAACCAGCTGATTGTCAGTGCTACTGAAAAAATGACCATTGGTTAATTTTGGATCCTGTGGGGTGTTAGTCAGTTGTGAACTTGTCAATCTTTTTCCTGGAATGTTTTTTATCAGAAATAACCCCTCTCTGGTTGACTGTAAAATTATTGTGTCCTTGATTTGTAGTTGAGAATGAATCTGATGCAGAAAGAGTGCTGTTCTCATATGGTTATGGTGCCAATGTACCCAGTACAGCAAAGAGGAGAATGCAGCAAAGGTAGTTATGTGCATCTTAATGTGTGAACAGCTTGAACTGAACATGTTTGACATACAGTTTTTCTCTATTGAATGCATAAGACTGATCCATATAATTATGATTAGGCTTACCAGAGTCTGGAAAGAAAGATATCGTTAGATTTACTGTTGCAGCAGTTGTTTAATTAATACATCTCTATGCATATCTCCAATTGATTGCTCGACAGAATATAAGTAACTAATTGACCGGTAATAAATGAGCTACTGAATGTTTGATTGGTGGGCAGTTGAGTGGCTTATGATTTGATAGGTCATAATTTACTGTTGAATTAATGAGATAAGCTTGTGAGTGGTAGTCAATTGAATCATAATCTGGTGACAGATGAACCAAGTCTCTCTTTTAAGTTCCTTATCCTTGTATGGTGGTTTTTAAAGTGTTCACTTGGCCCGAAGAGTTCTTCAGTTGGAAAGAGCCAACACTTCACTTAGAAATGAGATGGAAAGAGAGAAGAAAAAGAAAGACCTACTGGGAAAAGAGGTGATAACAAAATCACTTTTTTAAAAATGTGGCTATTGTTTTAGTTGCAGTCTAAGTGAGTTATTTTCTGCACATTTTGTAGAATCAGAATTCAAGACAATTATGGTGATTTTCATTCGTCAGCTTTCCAAGGCAACATCATTGTTAAATGAAGCGCAACAGCCATACAACTATCTGATTGAGAGCATAAGAGCAAGAGATTCACAGAATCAAACCCTCACTGAGCAGCTTGCATTGATGGAGGAGGAAATTGGGTGAGTCATGTTCACCATTTTCTTAAAAGGAAGTTGAGGAACCTTCAGAAATGAATTGGCCCCTACCCTATGGATATCTACGGTTGGTTACCTTGCTTGTACATGTACCTTACTTTTACTATTGATTACTATGATTTATTGTTGAGGTTATCATATTTCTTAACAATTGATTCCACCTCTTGGTAATCAGATATTACCTTTGCTTGCTTAAGAAAGCAAGAGATCCAGACAAAAATTTAATAACTTTTTTCCCTCCAACAGGAAGCTAAAAATAGAAAAAGAAGATCTTGTTAAGACCCGCAGTCAGTTATCTGCTGACTTGGAAAGACTTCTAAACCAACGAGAGGTGAGGCTTGCAATGCATCTGTTTCTTTAAAGCCAAAGAGACAGCAGGAGTCTAAACAATTTGTGATTTTAATATCTCATGCTGGAATTCTTAGGTGATTGAAAATTTTAATACATGTACTCAGCAACCTCAATTGCAAGTAGTCAATGATTTTCTTTTAACTTTTCTGGCACCATCTTTTATATAAATTAAAGCATACTGTGATTGTGTCAGGTATACTCAATAAATGCTTGTTGTCACACTTATTTACTTTATTCTCTTATGTCCATGTTAAGCAAAAGGTCAACTGAAAATATATCACAAAACGCTAACTGATTCGGTCTACTTAGAAACATAAAGTGAATTTATGCACCAACATCTGTGGCTCTAGTTCTCAAGAGGATATCCAAACATGTGCATTCACTAACTCGACTAATTGTTTACTAATCACGTTTCAGATACTTATATAATACAATAAAGATTATGACGTCACAGTAACACATAGTGACCTTTTAACTCCCATGAGTGACCAAGACAGAATTTCTCCTTACAATATCAATACAAGAGAAAGCAGACAAGTAATGAGAATAACCAAAAATATCAATGAGGGGATTATTAATTGGAATGATCTAATTCTCCAAAATAACATGATCATAAGAATTGTTAGGCAGACAGCAAGGAGAAATACTGTTGAAATCATGGCTGTGAAAGAGTTGATTTATGGCTAGTTCAGTAAGTTATTTTTTTGTTATCTTTACATTTATAGGAGATGGCTGTGATGAAACAAGCTATTCTTGGTTTGAAATCCGCAAGAGGTTCAACTGCACAAGTTACAAGGACGTCTACAGGTGTCCATGGCCCAGAATCACGCCTTAGAACTTCTGTGGTGCAAGACATATCCAGCTCTGCATCGCACCAACCAAAACCAACTATTTTTGTAAGTGATAGTGAAGAGAAATAGAAGTCAATGTAGCAGTTTTGTCCACAAGCTTTGATCCTTTTTATCAGTACCATAGACTGCCGGTAGGCCCTGGCCAAATTCATAGGACAGGTATTGCATGTTTTTTTTTTTTTTTTAAATGGGAATGGCCTTCTGTGTATGATGTTATTTGATTTCTTTAAATCCTTTGGTTAAAATTTGGTGAAGTTGTTTTGCATGTCTTCAATCATCTGAAGTAAAGTGAAATGAGGTTCAAACATGGAGTGCTGTATGCCATGCGGCTGCAGACCGAACACAATGGAGGAGAGACGTCCAAGCTTTGTGTGCCTCTTGTTACAGAGAGATTTAAGATTTAGGTTAAGGGAGGCTCAAATTGATTATAAAGATGTAAAGCCAAGCAAAAAATTTAAACATGGCACAATCATGTACAGTCAAACCTGTATTAAATGGCTCCATAATAGGCAGTCACCCTGTACTAAGTAGTGCATTTTCAAAGTCCCCAAATATTTTCCCTTTGACTACTGTAATTTTCACTTCTATTAGACAGTCATAATCACCTTTTATGAAGTCCCACTGGCCTTCTTGTATTGTCCTCCACCTATATTGAACAATCACTTTATAGCAGAAACACTCAAATAAAACTAAGAGTAATCTCTCAAATGAAATTTAATCCATATTATCTCCTGGAATTAAGGTTAGTTATATTTATGAGGCAATTTTTTGTATATTAAGTGGTCTGTTATGGCACAAAACAACATTTTGTATCATTTTTTTTTATAATACCTCTAATCTGTGGAACCTGTTTCAAGCAGTTAACCTGTACCAGGGGTCACCACACCATCCCCTATGAGTGACCACTTAACACAGGTTTGACTGTAAATCCTAGCTTTTGGAAACTAAGGTTGTTAACCTTTATTCCTTTAGACAAAATCTGACCCTCCAACATGGTATAGAAAATTAAAGACTCAGAACCTGACTGGAAGAACCATACAAGGGTAAAGTAACATTTTAGTTACAAATTTAGTGGAGACACCATGGTATATTGGTCAGTACATTGGATTCTGGGTCAAGAGGTCTGGGTCCCTGTTTTGTTATCTAGGGCAACACTACTCTCACAGTGCTTTATGGGTAGGAAAAAGTCAAATGTTGCAAACTATAAAGCCTGTGGGTTAAATACCTTGTCTTTATTTTATACTGTATTAAATGTTGTATTGAATGTCAAACCACTGTTTGTGCCTGGGGAATGGAGATGTAGCCTAGAACAAGTATTTTGAAATATTTGTAAGATACTATCAAAAATTTATATTAACTTTTTTCTGTTGCAGGTCAAACTGACACCATTCCTGACCTCTAAAAATATTAGTCTGTCTGATTATTTATACATTGAAATAATTAAATTAAATATAGAAAACTCATCATCATCATCCATCTTTATTTATACACGAAATCGTATCATTTTACATGGTCTTCTTAGGAATCGTGTTTAAACTAAACTAAAACACTCTAAGGAACTACTGACCATAATATTAAAAATACAAAACTTACATCGTGAATAATAAGGAACTATTAGCTATAATGTTAAAAATACAAAAACTTACATTGTTGGCAATAAAAGTTACAGTGGTGTATCAGAAAAATCTTTCCCATGAAATGAAGTTTTAAAAACATTTAAACTAGGCAGTAATTTTCTAATCTCTGAGGGAATCCTGTTCCACAGAACAGATCCTCTGTAGTGTAGGCTCCCTTTTGCAGACTCAGTTCTGGGTCTGGGGACATAATAATTTAACTCAGAATTTCTAAGATTGTGTGAATGTACATTTGAGGTGTTGGTAAAGATCTGCCTCAGATATGATAGGGAAAGATTATTATGGATTTTATACATTGTCACAGCCAACTGTTAAGTCTTACTTATTTCAGCCTTTCCCAGCCAAGTTCATCCAACAAAACACTTGAGCGAATGTCATAATTAGAAAAGGTGAGAATTCTAGCAGCCCTATACTGCAGCTTTTGAAGTTTGTTTGCTATTCCCTTATTGACTGATTACCCCACACGGCACCACAGTAATTCAAATATGGCATTACCAGTGCATTGTACATATTCACTTTAGTATCAAGTTGTACAAAATGACTTACACGCCTTAAAATAGCAATACCAGCGGATATTTCTTTGAAATGGTATGATTGTGTGGGCGCCAGTTCAAAGATTCATCAATTTGAACTACAAGGCTTTTATGTTTAATTACTCTTTCCAAGGGTGTGTTATTGATTTTGACTGTGAAGTCACTATTTATTTGGGATAACTTAAATTGGCTCCCTATAAGCATGTTTTTAGTCTTCTTAACATTCAAAGGTAATTTGTTTGCTGACAGCCATGACTGGATTAAATTCATATCTTAATTCATTTTATGTTCAAGGACACATGGGTCTTCTCCAGATGTGGTAAGGGTAGTATCATCTGCATACATTCTGGGCTTTGAAAACAAATTACATGAAGGGAGATCATTAATATAAATAGTGAATAAGAGAGGGGCCAAAATAGACCCCTGTGGAATACCACATGTTATGTAACAGAAATCAGATTGAACTCCATCAATGAATGTTTGTTACTTTCGATCAGATAAATAGGACTGGAACCAGTTTAGAGATTGAGAACTGAGCCCATAGAGTTTAAGCTTTTCCAGAAGGATAGCATGATCCATGGTATCAAAAGCTTTTTTCAAGTCCTGGAATATCACACCATTTAAGAGACTGTTGTCAATATTCCATAGTCATTCATTCATAGCCTCAAGTATAGCTGTTTCAGAGGAAAACATAGGTCTGAAGCCAGATTGAGATTCAGTTAACAAATTATTATTATTATTTAAATATTCATATAATTGATTAAAAACCACTCTTTAAATTATTTTACTTACTACAGGCAGAACTGAGATAGCTCTGTAGTTGTTAGGATCAGTCCTCAGGTCTTCTGTAAATATTGGTGAAACTCTAGCTCGCTTCCAAGCATTTGGAAATATTCCAGTGGTAACTGACTAGTTTATTATAAAAGTTAGACTGCGAGTAACTATGGAAGAGGCTTCTTTCAAGAGATGGGCTGAGATGTTATCAAGACCACTGGCTTTATTACTCAGTATTTTCTGAATCAAATTGAAGACCCCCTGGCATGATACTTTTGCCAAATTAAAAATGTGTTCTGCGGGGGGTAATATAGTCACTAAAATTGCTGGATGTATCTTTAATTTCAGAGGCTAAAGAAGGCCCTATTTTGGAGAAATGTGTGTTGAGTAATATATTACTGATTTTGATGGGGTCAGTATTTACAGTATCCCCAATGTCCAGCTGAGTTATCTTATTAAATTTAGGTTCATTTCCAATTAGTCTATTAACTCCCTTCCAAGTAAAACTTCAAAATGCCTCAAAAGTAAACCAATCAAACATATGCAGGGCTGTGGTTTAGCTGCACCGGGTGGCCCCTGGCACCTTACTTTTGCTCTTGGGTGACTCAGGCATCTTAGTTTTTTCATATGAAGCATAAGCTGGGCACCCTGGATTTCACAAATTTCAGAGCACTGGGGTACCTTCAATTTTTCTTATACAGCCTTGATTTGGAAGAGATTAAAATGATTAATGATGGTAAATCTATGCTCCATCCAATATATTTGAAGTTGGACTCATGGAAAATTTGAAACTGTGACAGTTCTTTTTCTTAATCAGTAGAAGAATGACAAATAACACACTTTTATACCAGTGGGAAACAGTCAAAGATGGAAGTCAACAACATGTACAGTGCTTCACTAGAACCTTACCATCAGCATTTGGACTTCTAGTCAAAAATTAAAGGAGCAGTGCTACTGAGCATGCATGGTGCAAGGACTTCTGCAAGAACTTGTAGTTTCTCCATAAGCCACATGCTGGAAATGTCATCTCTAATCTCTCTAAATTGTTTGAGCCTGTCATTTCAAATCCATATCAATCTTCTTTATCTTGGATTTTAAGTGCATTTTTTTTTTCAGTTTTTTCTTCCTCACAATGCTAATATTTTGTGGTCTCTTTGAAGTTGCATCTCTCCAAAAGTTATTCAAAATACCATGACCTGCATCAAGCTTTTCTACATAGAATGGCATCTGATCCTGCTGAAGACTCAAGTTTTTTGGTTTTATTGTCCACAAATCCTCTTTCTCGCATAATCTCTTTATATTCTTCTGCTGTTCGTTCCCTTCCCTCCATTTGTACAAGCATATTGAGTGACTGAAGTAGAACACTTTTAGGCCCAGTTTTGTCTTTATCCAAGAAAGCTTCAGCAATTAGTAGACAGCCACCTAAAATTACACGATTGTTGTTCAAACTTAATTTCTTTTTCAAACATTTATCAGCTAGGTGCTATTCCAATCCAAGTCCATCTAAGATCACTACTTCTATACTTGAATTATACTTCGTGTCATGCAATTTTGATCTGAAATCCAATTAAACTCTTGCTGTACACTCATTCAATTTTGAAATCATTTCAGTCCAAATTGCACTCCACTCAGTTCAATTACCATTATTATCTCAACAAGCAATTGAAGATATGTACCTGAAGGTAAACACTTGATGACATTTGAGAGTATAAGTTGCACTTTTTCAATTGGCCAGTCATGAAGAATACGTGACAATATGTACAAATCAGCCTTTGGCAGATCTGCTTGGAAGAAATCGCCTACTACATAAGAGACATTTCCTTGATTGGGGCATTCTTCTGATGAGGGATAAAAATGATGGGCAGAATCCACAACAGACTGCATTTCACACACAGTGATCTTCATGTTTGGATAGTATTGACATAATGTGTACGCCATTGTTCCTGTCCCACCTGGGTGAGCAATTGACAGAGTGAGAACATTCAATAAGAAGCAACATTCCATGGTGGGTGTTGAACTGGACTTGTAATCTGATGGTTCTGGGGCTAAGCCTTCCACCCTGCCACCAGTGAGGTTTTTGCTTGCTTGCCGTCTACTACCTGCTAATTTTCCTTGGGGTAATTCTTGAATATTTTTATTTACAATGGCCCTCTTAAGTCTCATTGAGGCAGTGGTCAACTACTTTATAACTTTTGTCCCTGTCATTAGTTATCATTATTTAGTATTGTTGCTATTATTATTAGTACTGTTGTTTTGTATGGTTTTTTTAATTTATTTTTTTTACTTTATTGTCACACTGTTTTTGCTGAGGAAGACAGTCAAGCACCCAAATATCCTTGTCACACTCTAAAGCCTAACTTGCACTGAGGTAAAAATGATGTTATGCAGATCTGTT